CTAATAAGATTAAGATTAATATATAGGAGTAGGTTAAACGTAGAGAGATAAGAGTAAGGAAGGAGGATATTAAATAGGTTCTTTAGAAGAATATTATAGAGTTACTTTTGTATAAAATAGGGTTTTGTTTTACATTATTTAAGGAACTAGGAATAGCTAGTTATTTAGTTAGTACGTTACCGAGTATAGCCTTCCTCGTCTTTTAAAGTTAGCCTAGTATTAGTATAAGTAAATACTACTTAAGGCTACTTACGTACCGTACTTAGTGCGTGCGTGTTGCTCAAATCTTGTATATAAGCTTCCGTTTCTCTGGAACTCTCTTCTTCCCTTACTTTGTTATTCGCTCAATACAGCAGTTTCCGTTTGACTCCGTATTCATCACAGCAAGCAGTGGTTCACTCCACACGGTTACATAAAGGATAGTAGATATAGAGGTATAGAGGCTTATAGAGAAGCTTAAAAAGATAAATATAGTTATAGAATAAGGCTATAGGATAAAGAGGATATTTACTTTTACTTTATTTATATTTAGAATACTAGACCGGAATACTAGATACCGGAGTACCTCGGGATAAGGTAGGCTTTCGAAGGGGGGTATTTATAATATATAGACCGCGGTTATAAGACACGGTTATATAGTTATATAACTTAGCGGCCGCCGAGCCTCTATACTTAGCCGGCTAGATAGTTTAGTTAGTTATCTAAGTTTCTTTTATACCTTTATACCGTACTATATAGTACCTTTAATAGATAGTATAGATATTACTATTTAATAGTATATATAGCTTTACTATTACTAAATTAGACCTAGAATAAATACCTTTATAAATCGAGCTTAATTTAAAGAATTATTCTTAGTTGAAGAATCATATTAGAGTAATAAATAGTATGTATATTTTTATTATACTATATAATAAGAAACGATTTATTTTTTTAGATAGACTTAGTAACTTATCTTAAAATATACTAGTTATTTATACGTTTAATATACGATTCATATATATATTATTTAAGTAAGAGAGAAGTATAGTAGACTTAACTTTATAAGTATACGCTATTTATTAAAGAGCTATATAAATACTAAAGGGGAAATATATTCTTAGTAACTATAGCTTTCCTAGCTTACTAGAATATTTAGTACTATTTAAAAGAGTAGAAGGTAGGAAAAGAGAATAGATAAGTCTCTTAAAATAAAAAGAAGCTATTTGACCTATACTATACTATCCTATATAACGTAAACAAGTATATATTTAGAGTCTTAACGAATAAGTTTAAGATATTAATAGTATTAAGGAGATTTAAGATAAATGTATAAGTAAGACTTATTTCTACTCTATATATTTTATATAATATCTTAAATAATCTAGTTTAATATCCTCTTGTCTTAATATAATTTATTCCTTGTTCCTCGGATCCTAAAAGAGACTCTAGAAGGCTTTGTATAGGTAGGAACGTTAAACCTTAGATACGTACTAGATTAGGTAAGGCGTAGGAATACCTACTAGATTAGGTAAGAAAAAGTGGGTCGTGCAGGAACACTAAAACTCGTCCGTAGTATGCGGCTCTTTACGCCTATATAGCGGTACTTCTACCGGTCGGAAACGTATATTTTTCGAGGAGAAGGAAGCGCTTAATTAACCCTATAAACCTATCTTATTTATATGTCTTTCCGACTAGTAGAAGTATAGCTACGTAGCTATATACGTACAGGTAAGGCTTAAGTACGTATACTATTCTCGGTACGGCTATCTATATAGCTAGTACGTAGCTATACGCCTCGGCTACTATAACCCGAGTTCCTACTTATACAACGCCTTTAAGAGTCTCCTTCGAGACTCTTATACTAAGATTATATCTTAAGTACTATTATAAAACCTAGTTATACTAAAGGAATAGAGCTAGACTTTAATAAGTATAAGAAAATAGAGCATAAAAACAAAACTAGTAATATGTTTATAAATAAAACTAGATATTATAGTAATTCTTATACTAGGAAACTAAGAAACGAGATAAGAGATCGAATTATAACCACTATATAAGAGTACGAATTATATATAAGATCTCTCTATTAGTAGATAGTTCTAATATATATCTCTTTTATTATATTACTATATTAAAATTACGTAATCCGTTCTATTATATTAAGTTTACTTTATTGAAGACTCTTTATTAGCTAAATATATATAAACTAGTTATATCTATAGTAGAATAATTAAGTACTTAATTAGCTTCTTATTTACTATATTTTATTATACTACTAGAGTACTGTTATATAAACAGGAACAGTATGTGTGAATGTGTAGATAGTAATAAGTGTCGAGAGCGAAGGTGGCCTGAATGGCCGACTATATACAGAAGATGCTGACGTAATCCATGACGTCTACTCGTATATGGCCGTCACAAGTACTAGAAGCGAGCTACTAGGTAACGTTACTTTATACTAACTTTTCCTTATTAAAAGTAGTCTAATTTACTTAGTTTTTTTATTATATAAAAAGTTTTAATCTAAGGATTTAGTTATATAATTAAAAAAAAGGGTTTTCCGGTAGTATTATTATAATAATATAGTATATAAAAGTTATTATATATAACGGCTTATTTATTAATAATAATAACTATATAGTATAATTTATAGTAAATAATTAATTTATTATTTCAAAGTAATAATAATAATAGTATAAATAAAACCTTTATCCTTTAAACCCTCTTAAACTTAATCTAGATTTATTTCTAAGTCTTTTACTAGTAGTATAATAAGGTTATTTATAGAATACTACGGTTTTATATACTCCTAGAGTATTTATTTAATCTACTTTAATTATAGCTCTTTACTTTCTTCCTTAATTAATAGATATTCGACTATATATTTAAAGACTTAAAATACTTATATAGTAATAATTATACCCTAGTTAGTTAAAAAAGGCTTATCTTATATTTTAAGAAGGGCTTATTTATATAAGAACTAATTTAGTATATTAATATCTATTACTATATCCCTTATAACTAGCTTTAGTTTAAGAGTCTTTATAATCTTATTTATACTTTAAGATATCTTAGATATATACTCTTCTCTTAAAAGCTTTACTTTCTTATTTAGTAATAGTTCTTTCGATAATACCCGCTTATTTAAGCTCTTTAAATTAAAAGGATCTAATAATTAAGTAGACTCTTATTATATATTTAGTAGAGCTTCCTTTTTTTTACTTTTACCTTTATTCTTTAAGCTTAACTTTTTAGGCTTCTTTTACGCGCTTATATAAGGCTTACTATCTTTACTACTATAGTATTCCTAGTATAATATAATTTTAGCCTAAAGTTATTATTTTTATACTATAGTTATAAAAGAACTTATATTATTTTAATATAAGAGAGTAAGATTAACCTTAGTCTAGCTTATTTAAGGACTAAATTATCCTATATATCTAATTCTATAGTATTAGAGTTACTAGCGTAGGGTTTATTATTAGATTTTATACTATTAGAGTTATTATTATTTACTCTTTAAGAATAGCTATATTTACCGCTAGTAAGCTTATCTAGATTAAGCTTAACTATAATATTATAGGTATAATAAGAAAACTTTTCTTTTTCTATAGTTTTATTTCTAAGTATTTCTAAATATAAATTAGCTTAATTAGTAAATAAAAGGAATAGTACTTTACTATAATATAATTAGCTTAGATAGCTAGTTCTATAGTTATAATAGAGCGATTATCGTTTTAACTAAAACTAGAATTCTTATAGATATTATATATAATTCTAAAATCCTTTTATAAACTATTATATTTAGATTAATAAGTACGTCCTTATCTTAGTAGTTTATACTACTTACTAAGTAGATTCTAGATCTATTCTAGAAAGTTATCCTTACTTACTTCGCCGTCTTTTCGTTTCTTTTATATAAAGTCTAGAAGTATAAAAATATCTTCTTCTATCTACTTATTATAGTCTCGCTTTTATAAAGCAAAGGTATTTACTTACAATCTTTATATAGGTTATACTAAAGGTAGTAGTTATAACAAGTTAGATAACTTAGGTAGAGTAAGATTCTAGAACTTCTTAGACTTCTTTTTATAAGCTATTTTAGATATATATATATATATATTATAATATAAAGGATAAAAGAGTTAAAGGAAGGAAAGAGAAGGGAAGGGGATAATCCTTTAAATAAGTACTTGATTTAGTAAGTAGAGCTAACTAATTTATAATAGTAGACTAATTAAATTGTAGTAATAGACTAAAAATTAGTAATACGTACGTATAAACGGATTTCTAATAAAGTAAAAAAAAACTTTATAGTAAGCTAAATAGTAATGTATATGTTTTGTCAGAATAGTATAAATTATATATAGATTAGGAAACTTTTACATAAGCCCTTAGGTCCTAGGACTAGTGTAAAAGTTTATGATTTGTACTAAATTTGTACCATTCCCACTCGCGAGCTAAACATGCTCTAAAGTAAAGGGGCTCGGTTCGGTTCGGTTACAGTAGATAAAATCCGAGTACACTGAGTAGGTTCAGGTTAGGAAGGTAAGGTGAGGTAAAGTATGGTTAATATTATACCATCATAGAGTTATGCGTTGGTGTCAAAGTGATTCAGAAATAAGAGGTCCTCCCACTATCTACTGGTAAATCATAATCTAAGCTGCTAGAGTAAGCAACGAACTGGTGTACCGTATTTGGGATATAGAATCCGGATTTCGGAAATGGATACGAGTAACTTGCCACCGTGGGGAAGGCAAGAAATCTTATCTTATCTTGATGGCGGAGAGGGTAATTTATTTCATGGTGGCGTGATGGGTTCTGGAAAAGGGAGGAGAGGAGGGGATATACTTCGGTGCGATTAAGCTTACGGGGAGTTTGAAAGTCCAATACGTGGTGGCAAATTAGGAAGTAATTTATGAAGCACGAAGTATTCAGAAGACGCACGTAGACTGTAGTTTACAGCGTAAACCACATGATGTCCCAAGTAAATGGATTCAACTAGAAGTACTTTGGTACTTCGTGAGAGCATGACGCCGTCCATCCAAAAATAGAGTCCCTCCAACCCTCCCATCCAAACTCCCATCCTCAACTCTAAACTTTCCGATCCGGATACCCCACACCCTGACCCACGGGACAAGCAGGCATATTCTCCTGCCAATGCAATTTGGCATAATCGGGTAGATAATTCTGCGCCGAATAGACACCCACATACTGGTCCACATCCGCCATGGTATAAGAAGCGCCCATGGCATTCGAAACACTCACCACCACATTCGCAAAGTAGTCGAAGAAGACGACATCCACCACCGCCGGCGTCGTGCCATCCACCGGGAACGACCCGTTACCCTGGATGTAGTTGGGCTGTCGAAAATTCGGGATCTTGCTGTGCACGGTGTCATCCCCGTCCGTCCCAAAGTCGTCCGATGTCACGTAGCCCAGCGTCACGCTCGTCTGTCTGCGGTGAATACCGCGCGTTTTGAGCGTCGCCGTGGAGCTGAGAATGGGATCCGCACATGTTCTATCCGCGAGACGGGGCATGGACCCAAATAATTGGTTGGGAGAGCTCCGTTTGTCAGGGAGAGTGGCGCCGTTCATACTATTCAGGACCTTGACCGCCATCTCGTAGGGGACTTCTTTGATGTACTGGAAGGTGTCGTTGAAGGGACTCACGATGAACGAGTCGTCGTAGGTAAAGGGCCCCTTGACCAGGTCGAAACGGATACTTCCTGAGTTTATGAGGATGTAGCGAGGGATTTGAGCGCGGTCTTGGTTGATGACTGTTGCTCCAAGGGCTACGGGGATGAGGCTGAAGATATTCCCTGGGTCACCGAAAGGTTTGCAGGATAAACAGTAGGTTGCTGGCGCACAACCGTAGAGCGAGCTGAGATTGAGCTGTTTGCGAATCTTGGTGACTTCGCCGGAAACTCGGAGACCGCTGTGGTAGTCGAAGGTCTCGTCCTGAGAACTGGTTGCGTGGTACGCAAAGGTGGCTCGGTTCCAATCGAGGTATCTGCGTGAGTAGACGATTCCGGATGTGGATGTGTTGGTGGCTGGACGAGTTGGGTTTGCTACTCCACGTGGAAAGACGTTGCCTGTGAAGGTTGAGGAGTTGATACCACTCATGGAAAGCCATCCTAAAGTTTCACAGTATCGTCCTGCTCTTCGTTAGAATATCTCATTATTTTCCCAAACTGTGAACCTACCAGATTCAAGACCCGTACTCCTATCATCATAAACTTGAAAGTCTCTGATATGGCTATGACCACCAAACTCTTGAATTGGAGTATCAGGACGTAATGTTCTGATGGTTTTATGAAGAAGCCCAAATGTGCTCGAGTAATCCGTCGTTCTGATTGGGTTATGTCCGATGAGGAGGAAGACATCAATTGGTTCAGGTTGATTCACAGCATCCAAAAACCATTGTTGCTTTACCATATCGGCTGCTTTGATAATCTTCGAGACATTGGAATTTCCCGTGAAATCGAATAAAACACCAAATGTCATGATGCGGAGCCCTATTTATGAGTTCTTAGAAAGTGTTTACATATGCAGACTTTCGGGAAGATCGCTTACCGTGCGGGGTGGTGAAGTAACGATACTTCGCTCCAACATATTCAAACACACCCGTTGCTGGGTTGGCGATTTGAACGTTGCTAGTGACATATCTTTCACCTATTCCCAAGTCAGTCAGTCATATTCACGGTGTAAATAAGCAGTAAGTAAACAGGCTCGGTTACCATAAACTTTGCTGAAATTCGAGAATGTCTTGAGTTATATTTCCTTTCTCTTAAGCTAAATACTAGGCTTAATAAGAATTAAACACCTGTTCTTCCTCTAAAAGAGAGGCTATTTTACTTAACCTTTTACCTCCTTAATACTTAACTAGTAGGAAACTATATTATATATAGTAGTAATAAAGTACTTTTATCCTATAAGCTAAATATAAGCTATTCGTTCAATTATAGAACACCCTAGTAATATCTATTAATATAGTAATCTACCCTTATCTATATAGCTTATCCTTAAGTAAATTTATAGTAAAGAGCTATAAAAGCTAAAGGTCTCGCCTAGTCGAATCGCTATACTTCTTATTCTTTTAAGCCTTAATAATACTATTATAGACTTATTAAATAGTAAGATAATCTACTTCTAACCTAACTTTATTACTATATACTACCTTAATAAGAGTATCTAGGATCTATTCTCTAGCTCTAACTATTAGATCTAAATTTACTTAAACTAGCGCTATAATTTCGCTTATATCTTTAAGTTCTATAGAGCGTAAGGAGTATATAATAGGGATAAATCTAAGGTTTGTAACCGTGTGGAGTGAACCACTGCTTGCTGTGATGAATACGGAGTCAAACGGAAACTGCTGTATTGAGCGAACAACTAAGTGAGGAGGAGAGAAGAGAGTTCCAGAGGAACGGAAGCTTAAATACAGGATGCCAGCGGCACGCACGTGCCGTGCTACACGTGACCAGACCACAGTCCCTCCAACTCCGTAACAAGGTTACCTACCCTACTAACACTACTATCGTAGAGCGACGTCGAGTATAAAGGGCCTTATAGAATAGGGTTTTTTAATAGAATTATTTTAGACGTAATTTAAATTAATTCCTAGTATATTTAGCTTTTTAGATAGCCCTATTATAGTAAGTTTCTAAGGTTCCGCGGGTATTATAAAATTAATATTCTTTATATTACTATAAAGAATAGTCTATCTATCCCTCTAAAACTTATCGATTAGAGTATTTATATTAAGCTTAATATTCTCCCCCTTATTATCTTCCTCCTTGTTCGATATCCTACTAAATCGAGCTTTAATAGAAGCTAATTACTTGTCTATTAATTCGGGTCTATATAAGAGGTTATAGACGTAGGGTTTAGGTTATCTATCTAGTTTAGGTTAAGACGGAATATATACGTCTCCGACAAAGGTTCCTACTCGAGGTCTCTTTAGAAGAACTTTTAGTTAGTCTATAATATAAGATAGTTTATAGTTAAATTATAATACTAATTTAGTTATATAAGGGAGAGGGGTAAAGTAGGTGTAGATATAGGTATAAAAACTATTACAGGGGGTATATAGTTATCAATACCCCTACTAGACCTATACTTTATAGGAGTATGTTTCGTAAAATATACTAAAAATTAGTAGGTTTTTTTGATATAGAAACAAGCGGCTAATTTTTATTTAATTTTTCCGACCCTTATACACTTTTATCCTTAACTAAGGCTTATATAAAAATTTTAGTAAGTGTACTCTTATTCCTTTAATTGAATTACTTTATTTAGCTATTAAAAATATTTTTTATATTGCTAATCTAAATAGTTTCTTACTAAAGTTAAAAAGTCGAATATTTGTTGTTACAATTAGGTGTCCTCAATTGTAGGACGCTTTAGTTGACTGCGAAATGCAACAATTTTATGTTCACACTTTATGATTGGTCATCCTCACTTTGTTGCATATCGCAATTTGAAATTGAAGTTTCTGCGGTCGGTTGGGGGTATCAATATACTTCTTGCGAACGGCCGTTCACAAGGAGATGTGGTTCTGAATATATTGAACTACGACAACTCTGGCAACATCAAGAACTGCGATAACCTTACTGAATCTACCAACCTTAAACTGCATGGACTCGCAACTGCAAAATGCGATGTGCAACAAAAAGCACAGGTTCAATGTCCAGCGAATTAAACTAGAAGCATACAGCTTTTGTTGCGCTTCGCAATTTGCAGTTGCGAGTCAAGTCCTTATTCGCCCGTTTCAGGTAGCCCATTCCGTCCACTCTGCGAAGTGCAACAACAAGCTAAAAACTGTCTTTAGTTGCAGATCGTAGTTCTATCTGCATTTGAGTACCTCGTTACTTGGACCAGTTGTAACTTCGGCTTCTTTGACGGTATCGACAATATTGAAAACCCACAGCAACAGCACCAACTGCAGTAGCCACAAGAACTGTGTGCGAATTACTATATCTAGTAAATGAAGCAACAGGGGGAGTAGGCTTCAATCATTTGCAATTGAGAAAGATCAATAGAGTTTTGTTGCACTTCGCAGTTGCTCAACTGTTTAACGGATCTATAGTTTCTAACGATCCTTACTGGTGATATAGCCTGTAACAACAGCTACTTTCGAAGTGCAACAAATAGACAAAATAAGGAAGACAAACCAATCAGGTGAGTTGAGGGACAATTTGTTGCACTTCGCAATTCATTTAACTGTTTTGTAGCCTAGCTTTACTGCTAGATGACCCTGCAGCTCCTAATGGCTCTGCAGCCCGTAACTGCTCAACTCAACTGCTGTGCAGCCTGCAACTGTGCCTATCTTGCGATATGCAACGAAAAGAAGAATTATTAAATAAACCAATCAAAAGCTTATGCAAGATTTAGTTACACTTCCCAATTTAAAGAGACTGCTCCACGACGGCTCGACTGTCTACAACTCTCGAAGCTGCAACATGCAAAACAACCGTGGATTTTAATGATCGTGAAATCGTGAATGAAAAGAAAGAGAAGTGCTATCATTACACTTTTCATGCTGGAAGGCTGCTTCGGTCATTTTCAAGGAGTTACACAATGAAAAAGGTACAGATGTGAGTGAAGAATAGGGCCCAACCTCCGATCGATGTAGCTCAGTTAGACGAAAGTTATATAAGCGAGAGCAGAAAGGGGCAAAGAAAAGTTTTCAGGCACGATACGCGAATGGTAACATGAAATATCATGGGCTCAATAGATTTTTAAACCTCTTTATCTTTGAAACTTTACTCTATTGTCTATTCAACAAAGTGTAATTAGCTAAATAGCCGACGCCTTATTTACTTTTTCTCGCTGCAAGCTGCGCTTCAAACAAGCTGACAGGCGACACTATCTTCCCATACTCAATGAACAGCTCCATTTGTCCCCGTCTGCTTATCACCTTCACAACCTATACACCAATTCACACCCAATGGCGGACTCTCAGCCTTCAACTTGAATTTGCCTCGCACATTCCATCCCACTCCACCACTTATAGGCCAGCCATGCCCACTTCCCGCCGTCGCACGATTCATAAATTCCAACGGCGTGGTCGAATTATCAATCAAGAGGCCATGCCCCCACCGCATATGAGGCTGGATAATCATCGAAGATTGTTGGGCTGTGAAACGGACAATGGCATTTGGGCCTGGAGTTAAAGTTGTCGTCCAGATGGAGTAGAACTTTGCGTCTAGAGGGCCATATGCAGAGCAATCCGAGACTAGGATCTGAGTTCCTTCAATACCTATACCACCGGCATAGCCTGCACCGTTGTCTGTGGCACCGTTGCGGTGCATGTTTATATTGACCAGTGTGTGACGGAATGTGTTTGGTTGGACAGTCACGAAGGCATTATATCCTATGATATTTAGAGAGCGAGCGAAAGAATCGGTGCTCTATGATGCGATGTCGAGAGCTGATCCTTTACAAGTTGCATCAGTGAGTACTTTTGCAGAGCAGGTGGGAGAAAGTGTGATGCTGAGATTCTCGACACCCATTTCGCTTGAGCCAGTTGGGGGCGTATAGGGGACCAACTGAGGAGCCATGTAGCGTGAGTCGAGCGAATAAGTGAGTGGGATGTCGATAGTAACGATATTGCCAGATATGCTAACTATTTTCCGTGGCTGTTGTACTACTCTGGGATTTTTGCCTGAACTGCCGTCCTGATATTGTGGTTAAGGTTGTTATTTCTGCCTTGAAGAATACACGACTCACCTCTAGCCATACCTGTGGCTTCCCATTTCTCACCAAGTCACTCATTCCATTTTCACGTACCCATTCTGGAGTTACTGCCCTCTGGATATACACTTCGGACCCAACAGCCAAACCAGCTGTTGATTTCACAGTGAAATTTGTTGCTCCAATAGGTACATGGCTATCGGTAATGGCAACAGCATCACCAACTTTCGCCTTGCCATCGCCATTCCCCATCGTAATCAGATTCATAGATCCGTTCTTCGTTGTCAAAACAGTCTTTCCCATGCCCGCACCTCGGAGCACCGTATTACTTTGCAGCCTTAACTGACCAAGAAATTCAAATGTGCCTTGTGAGAGCACCACAACGCCTCCTGAAGTAGAAACTTTGTCAAGTGCATTCTGAATGAGTTTCGTCTGATCTCCTTTTCCTGCGTTTAATGTAATCGTTGGAGCTGCAGACGGCAGCGGTTTGTCCGAAGAATGGTATCCACAGAAGCTGAAATCTGGAAGACGATCACCTTCATCCGTAACAACGTCGTTGTAGTTCACATTGACCGATGATGCTGTGTCAGTAAGAACTGCAGGCTGCGAAATTACTGCAAGAGGGAGCCCCAAAAGAGCGATACATACTTCTAAAGAAAACATCGCATGGAGTTGAAGAAGAGCGTCAGATTTCTGGAGTGTTTACCTTAATATATCTCATTTTATTGTGGAATAAGGCTGTGGTGGCGTATTGAGTCTACAAGGTATCACTCCTTCATCATCATCTAATATGAGAAGGAGTTGATTTTTACGATCACTTCTCAGCCCCTTTCTTCAGTACGAAATATGGCACCCGCTTCAGAATGAATATTTTCGACCTACAAGAAAAGCCCGGTGTCGTGGTTTTCACAGTAGCATAGATCACATCTGCTGTTCGCGAGGTTTTTCTTTTCCAAAGACAAAATTCGCTTCACAATTAATGAAGAAACTACCGTTCACAATTGTTCATATCTCCCATCAATTCCGCATTCTAACACCAATCTTAAACCCATCTTCCCACAGCCTCATTATAGTGAGTCTCAATAGGTAAAGAATCTCCCCTTTAGATATATATGGCAAGTGAACCGGACCACCCGGTGATAACGTGCAGCGGATAAAATGCGCATACCTCCCAGTTTCCTTGCAGCCTTATTTTTTTTTGGGGTAATTATGGGAAAGATTCACAGTAGACCATTTTTGGATACGTATACATGTCGTAAGGATTCGGCAATCAACCTCTGAATCGACAGAATGGGCGCGGTGCATAAGTTTGCAACGCTTAGAGAAGTCAGTCAGCACCTATAGCGTCGATTCCCCATCGTATTTTGCTTTATCTTGGCGACATTTCATCGTTCTGCTAACACTACTCAGGCTCTTCATAGTACTATGTTGCCCCGACGGGTTAGCTAGGGCTACTGCCTAGGGTAATACGTTTTGGCCTCGGCATGAAGTAGTACCATCGCATAAAACAACTTAAGAGGCCCCTCCCCCGCCACTTCGCTAATTCCGATGTAATTTACCTCTATATAAATTCAAGAATCTAATTAGCTTACAAAGCTATATTATACGGATATGTTCTACCTGTTATCCCTTCCAGACAATATGGTTACAACTTTTACCTGTGCTTCGGAGTGGAGCAAAAGTATCCACATTCTCAGCACTTTCGTGTAAATTTACGCACGCACTGAAAATGTTCCGCTGTGTGCGCTGTGAGGTTCCTGGAGCCATATAAACCCACATTCCAAGCATTTGAGCCTTAACTTGACCCAGTTATCGTATCCATATATGTCCACTTTCAAGCACAGGTAAATGTTGTAACTATATTGTCTGGAAGGGATACAGCGTAGATCAGATTCAAATATTGCTTATAAAGCAAATCAGTGTAAGAGAGGCAGTTGATTAATTCTCCCCAAGTCCCGAGTTTCTTGCTATTATTATAGCTAAGATTCTAATACCTGTAAATCGATAGAAAGCGTGGGTATCTAGCTAGTTATATGAAGTAAGACAAATACTAGTATAAATCCTTATACAAGACTCCTTCTAATGCGAGACAAACCATAACCGATATAAAACATATACGAGTATTAATATCAGAATGCGGTTACAGCGCGTACAAGGTGAATCGCTACTAGCGATAGCTGCAGAAGTCGCTTCTGATTCGTTGGCCAGCCGAGACGAGACACCAAGGCTCTGCGCTTGTTACATGATATCCCGTACACCGTAGACGACACTACCTACGAAGTAGAAGTAACAAGCCGTATATACCACATAGCCCATCGGAGAGGGAGGGGTAGACGCGAGCGCTCGGGGTTCTTTGATGACCGAGTATTGTCAATTAAATATCTTGGGAAACGCAATCGCGCCGCGGCTACCGTCTATTCAAATGTCAAACGCATGGCACGCTTGACGCAAATAAAGGATGCACTGACTATTCATGTTTAGATTCCCCGCGGACCGGTTTGCTGGCCAGTGGAAGTGCGCCGTTTCCTCGCTCGGGATTCTTACTTCGTCCTTTGTCCCAGGTCTACGAGTAAATTAATACTTCGAAGTATATATTAAAGTTAACGGGTGTGCTGAGCCTGCATTCCACTGAAAAATTCCCTGTAGACCCATTGAAAATAACGCTTACTTCTATTATGCCTGGGACGAAGTGCTTTGAGTTTTGTTTGGATAGATAGGTACTGGCTCCACCAGGGATGTCATTACAAAGAGATATGTGCTTCGAAGGAATATAAGTAGCTTCGAATCTCGCCCTGACACTTCAGTATACATTCTCTTCAAACCACATATTCAATTCAAACAAACCAAAGTCTGTGACTTATTATCATTCAAAATGCAATTCACTACCACCCTCGCTCTCCTTCTCTCCTTAACCTCAGCCACCCTCGCTGCCGAGTCCAACAAAATGGCCCGTGCTGCCGACCTTGCCGCCCTTGAGGCAGCTGACCTCCTTCCTAGGGATGTTCCAGGAATCACCTGATACGAAGGTCATGTACCTAACATCTTTGAAAGATAGAGAGAGACAATGAAATTAGGCTAACGTTGTACAATTTAGAGATGTCGAGCGAACCCTTGTGCAGGAAAATGTGGACCAGCCAACCCTCAACCTCCAAGAAGCCCAGGCCCAGGAAAACGATCAAACCGCGCAGGCGCAACGAAACGAGATGGACTGAAGCAGACATGGAATGGCTCGAGATAAATACAAGAGCGGGTTTACTGAGGCTTTTATACAATTTATTATTTTCCCTTCTTCTAGCTTGCCTCTATTTTAAGAGTCCCTAGTAGATTAAATCACTATCTTGAATACTTCATATATCAAGTATTACTTTATACTTTATGCTACGTTTGTGAGGGTTCTTGTTGCATATTTGAAATCCATATAAAAAGGCGATCTCGTAGTATTCTTCCCACGACCTCATTTTGAGATGGCGTAGGAGAAGGATCTCGACATAGGTAGATGAAACTATATATTTCAGCCCGCGCACCCTATTATCGCCTTTTCTTCAAGCTCCTTAAACTATTGCAATGAATAGTAAAGATAATGTATTATTTCGTGTACAAGATACTATATAATAATTAAAAAGTCTATGAAATAATTAATTCTTATTTATTCTATACTTAGACGAGCGTATCCCTTTAGCTACGGCCAGATTTAGGGCAAGTCTATTAGTTAAACTAATAAAATAAGATAGGTAGTCTAGATTAAAACCTTCTCCCTCATCTCAATTTACCATATATACGAATAATACCAATCAATACGGTACAAATAAACCCCCAAATCCCTCTTCAACATCTGCTTCGCAAAAACAGAACTTTGGAGATTTTACTTCAAATTTCTCGCCGAGTAATATAAGGACTTAATCAAGTTTATAGCGGGACCAAAATGTGCGGTTTGATCTACGAAGCTTACGTGGAGAGGATTAACAGGATCCGTACATGGGCGAGTTTCCAGCAATGGTGCGCAGCGGGTGAAATAAGCATACCTGCAAATCTAAGCTTGTCGCTGAATGGTAAAACAAAAAATTGAGTTACGACGTCAGTTATCTACGTGATGAAGATAAGCCTGAGTCATGGCGACCTCAACATATGAAAACATCACAAACAAGAGTCTTTCATCAAGTGTTTATGCGCAAGTGGAACACCAAGTGATAACCGAAATCACTCTACCTCCTCTCTATTACCTATCGAGCCTATCATGACTATCATAAAACCATCTATACACATAAAAACCAACGAACGAACGTACACAAACCCCTGATCCCAAAGCAACATTCTAATAAACCGAACAACCGTCTGCCGCTCTCTGTTGGGCTCCAGCAAAGAAAGCCTGTATAGCGATGTAATGATATAAAATGCCCCCCAAAACGGCGGCATGCCAAAGCTGATGCGATGAACCCCTAAAATCACAAATCAGCGGATGAACTCAAGTAGTATTGCATAGTAAAGAGAGTTGATTACCAGATATCGAAAGTTCCCGGTGCCCAACGTTCCGGGACTTTGGCAGCATAAATAAATGCCCCAAAGAGGTAGACCAGGATGCTCTTCGTAATAGGGGCATAAAATTGCCACACCCAGTCAACACCACGGGTGAATACCAGTTGTCCAGCTGGTATGAAGCCTGATGCACCGAGCGTCACGAAGGCGGCAACCCTTACTAGAGCCATGTTGGGGTGGTTGAAGGTTGGGTGTGTGGTACAGACGAGCACGACGCCTCCAAGTATCGCAGTCAGGCCCATGTACAGATACCTGCTTAGAGGTTCGCAGTAGAAGGCAAAATATTCCGTAGAGATGATTGATGCTGTTACAAGGAGCGAAATTCCTATGTAATCGACGCATGCAAATCTCTCCATGAGACACTGATCAGCTACACTATTGAAAGTGTGCCCTAGAGTGGTCAGTTTAGTAGTAGTAGACGGAGGGAAATTGTGCATACAAAAAACCGAGAACAAGAGTGTTTGAGCGGCAGCAACGAAAAACACAGCGGCTATCAGTACATCCGTATTTGTACTGAGTGAAAAGTTGGCGCTAGTAGGATAAAAGTAAAAGGCAATCGCTAAGACTATAAACAGTCCAATAGCATGGGACCAGATATTGACGGTCTCGTTGGAAATATTGAACATCGACCTTACACATTCCAGCTTGGAGGATGTGAATCGATATCCGTTGACTTGAATTATTTAGCACTACCCCTCAATGATGCGACATGAGTTTGGACTTACTGATTCTATGATTATTTTGCCATGGTGCCGGCAATTGGTCATATCTCAAAAGGCCATGCTCTCTCGCATGAGCAATAGCAGCCTCAATATGTTCCTCCAACGATTCCGCCGCCTTAATAGCTTCATCAATGACCCCGCGAGCTCTTACTATTCCCCCATCCACAACTCGCTTCCCCTCGTCCATTAACGTACCGGCCGCGCTAGCAAAGCCCTGTTCCCGCATTTTATATGCTTTCGCTTCAAAATCCGCAAGTATATTCTCCAACAACCCCATTCCCTCATATACCTTCTCATTAAGCGTCTCTTTCGCCGTCATGGCCTCGTGATATCTCGATTCCACAGTTTCAACCATTATCTTCGCCCTCCGTCTTCCAGCTCCAATAACCTCGTCCGAGACCTGCGAGCATTTCGCCCGCACCGCCTGAAGCGTCGCATACGCCCGCGAGATACTCGAGTCGAAGTTCAAGTTTCCATAGCTTTCCAAGAAATCCAATCTTCGTTCGAGTTCGGAGAGGAAGAGGTCGAGACGCACGATGATACCCTCGTCTGCTTCTAATTTGTCGGAGCTCCTTCTGCGCGGGTGGAATGAGGAATGTCGTCGTTTATATAGTCCCGGCTTCGAGGCATCGTCGACGCCACTTGTGATCGCAGTCGAGGTGTCATCGTAGGATTCAACCGTCAAAGACGATTGAGAGGCACACTGCATCCTGAAATGCCGGGGAGAGAAATCCCACGGGGTAGAGTGGGGTATCGCGCGAGGTCTTTGAAGGGATGTCGCAATGGGGGTGGAGTTAGTGAATCAATCACCGCGTTAAAGGTTGAGGAAGAGCGTTGAAATCGTGAGGGATTTGAATAGGCATGGTATGAAAAGGTCAAAGGCTAAGGAATCGCTGGCAAGCTGTTGTATCCCCACGAGGAGTAAAGACGGTCGTCAATGGCTCGAATTGGTAGGACGGGACTATTTACGAATGCAGTTCGGGGTCCCGCTTTTGTTGGTTGTTACTCACGTACCTGTTGGGCAGCACCCTCAGTACCATCACAAAGCGCCACTCGGTTGGCCCTGGTACCATTCTCCCACCAAGAACCTCGGCGAAGAACTCAGGCTTGTTTTGCGCTCATGTGCGTTTCTAGAATCTCAAGATCTCAAGCGACCAACCTGGGGAAATCTCAGAGTTGAGAAAAGGAAATTGTGTTGATTTACGCTGGACATTCAATTCTCATTGACACTGACATCACACTCGTACCCGGGAGCATGTAAGTTTTAGGGGTCCAGGAACCCTGGCGTTCTAACATCTTGACATGCTGTACAACATCATAACAAAAGTTCAAGTCGGTACACAGACAATCGGTGTCTCAGGCCAAATGCTGGTACAAATATGCCACTTTGGAACACGACGAGTACTGAGCAAGGGAGCACCGAAGAGGGACGTATGACTGACTAAATTCCCTCGAAAGTCCCTCAACAACTCGCTATACGGCTGACTGTCTTGCGACCAGCATGTGGAATTCTCTTAGCATGAGAATAGGCTGTTCAACCATAGTATTAATTATATATTTATTGTGATCATCTCAGAAAGCAGAGAAACGCCGAGCTATGCAACCACCTGCCCTTCCCAATAACCTATCTATGCCTTGTCCCTTCGCTCCCACGCAATAACAGCCGGAACTATTGGTCGTGTGAAGAGACTGGTATAATCTGTAGGAACAACCTCCTTACTCCCATCCAGATTCTTCAACTTAAATTCACGAACCATGGTCGCCATGATGGTGATGAGTTGAACGCCCGCAAATTGCTCACCAATACATCTATGCCTACCGGCACCGAATGGAAGATATGGACTCGATGCACCTTTACTGATGAGTCCGTAACCGTAATCGAATTTCTCTTCCTCAACAACCGTGTGGACGATTCCGGATGAGCCGGCGTCCCATCGATGAGGATCCCACATCATTGGGTTGGGGAAAAATTCAGCGTCACGACTTGTGCACCCAGGTGATGCCATGAGTGTATGCGAAGTAGGGATGACGAATTTCGTACCCGGGATGGGCATAGGTGATTTGACTTTTCGCATGATGGAGTGGATGGGCGTATGCATTCTCAGAACCTCCTTGAGGACGTTGTTGTGGAGAGTAAGCTTGGAAAGGTCTTCGTATCTAAGAGGAGGGAGGTCGGCTCCGAGTTCATTGATTTGTTCTTGATAGAGTTCCTCCATGATATCTGGTCGAGCGGCAAGACGAAGCATGATCCAGGATATAGATGAAGATGACGAGTGTTGTCCAGCCATGAGCAGTGCAATCATCATGTGGGCGATTTCCTTATCTGGAACTGGGGTTCCGTCCTTGTAACTCGATTGCATCAACTGCCACATAATATCCAATTTTCCTCCCTTATCGGAAGCACGTCTCTTCTTGATGATTTCCATATAAGTCTTTGCAACGGTTCGTTGAGCGTGATCGCGCGCACGGTTGTGAGGTAGAGGAGCCCAGTGAAGCATGAAATTGATAGGACTGAAGCCCATATCGAGGTCGTGGTAGAGTGAAGCAAAATCCGAATCGAAATTATCACGAACATCCTTTCCTTGGAGGGTGTGAGAGGCGGTATAGATGGTGATTTCAGCCATGGCTTCTGGTACATTGAGAGTACCCTTTGCGCCTTTGAATTGTGCGGCACGCTTTACAAATGTTTCGACTTCGTCTTGGATGATTGGAACGTAGGATTTGAACGCCTCGGTGGTCAAGCCAATTTTCATGAACTACACAACCATAATTAGCTAGTTGATATATGGCTTTTGGGGATAGAATCTGACCTTCTTCTGCTCCATCAACTTCGCATTTGGACAGTCATAAACCACATCCGATCCAAAGACCGGCGTGGTCAAAACGGTATAAATTTCCTCCGCATTGACGTCCTTGATCTTGCCATTGAGAATGAATTCATTGCCCTCTCGCCCAAGGTATACCGTTGTCTTCTTTCCAAGGAGTATAAAAGTGAAGACATCGCCATACTAAATCAGGTGTTAGTTTGCTGGTTGTTTCTGCGAGCGCAGGTGTAGGTACCTTTTCTCGACATTCGAAGAAGAACTTGTACGGATCGATACCATAAGTTACCGTGCTACCAATGATCGGAAACAAGTGGAAGACGACCGGAGGTTCATTCGGATTCTTGAGCAACAATTGCTGCAGAACATTCAATACAACTGCCAGAACGATAAATGCGACGAAGCCAGCGGCGCCGACTGCTATCGCCCCTTGCTGGGCTATCTGCGCGCCCAATGGGCCGGTGACCATTTCGAGAACACCCATCAGGCAGACAATAGATAATAGACAATGCGACGAAGACGGGAGTGGAAGAGAAGAAGGACAAGTGTCGATGCCGTCGAGGGTCGATGGTCGATGGTCGATGGGCAATTCAGGAGTTGTCCCTGGTGTATTTAATAAATTTTGGGAAGCCTCCGTACACCGTACGCACCCCCGTAAGTAATCTTGTGGGAAGTGATTGGCCCGTTCCTGCATCCGACATCCTGGACGAACCCCGGCTCACTTGGTAAACATGCACGTTCAGGCTGAAGAAACATGTCATCCAGAAGAAAGAGGTGATTTTCGTATTCGGCTTTTTCTATACATCTAGATCGACCAATACAACCCATTTCTAATAGGTCTCCAGTGCTTCAAACCCTCCTTTTGCATCTTTGAAGAAAGATAGGGTCCCATGTGGGAGGCTCATGAATCTGTCTTTTCGTATTCGGCTTGCCCAAGAATCGCAGCTTTCAAGTTTGGATCATCCAACACGGTGCTGCTATGAGAAACAGAAAGGAGATCTAGAAACCTCGATGAGGGACAACCACCCATTTGATGACCGAGAGCATAGATCCTCCTCGCCACCTCTCCATACCTACCGACCACCAACCCAATTGGGAAATTGATAACGAGTAAACGTGGCTTGTAAAAAGAATTGAATTATACAGCAAGCCTCCGCCAAAAAAAATTGTATGTCGAAACTGAAAGAATGCCCGAACCCAATACCGAATACCTACGTACCCCGAAAGCTTTTGCTTCTCACCTCCCACGAATTATCATACAGTTCTTCCACCCAATATCCTTGTTCCTGTTCTTTCCCTTCCTTCTCCACTTTTCCCAATAACTCCTGGATAACCCATGAATAATACCTACCGTCGAATCCATTCTACGCACACACCAATTCATCGAAACCCTACTCCATGATTTGCATCTCTTCCTTGCGGTTAGGAGCAAATTCATCCTTCCACATATCCCACAATCTCTCAAGTTCAGTCACATATTCCTCATGGACACGATCAATCTCACTCTGTTCAGGTTTGGCTGCCTGTACAACTCGGATTGGACGGCCAATAACAATGTTGATGGGCCTTCGGTATGGCATAAGACCGACATCGTAGTTGAAAACACCTCTGGCATGGAACAAGGGAATGGTAAAACCCAGGACCTTTTTGACTAGAAGTTGGAATTTGTGGACCCGGGGATGAGAATCAACGTTATATTGATCATAAAGGTCATTTTCACCGAAAGATAGAACAGGGACAAGATCGGCTCCAGTCCGGATGGCCATCTTGACAAATCCCTTACGACGCTTAAGAATAAGTCTGAGGGAGTATGGCTGAGCGTCTAGAGATTCACTTGCTCCTCCGATAACAATGGTAATTGCACGACCCATGCCCTCCTACAACTTTGTCAGCTTGGCCTGGATGGAAATAACCTTAGAAAATCTTACATTATTGGGACCGCCCTTCGAAAGAAGGTTCTCGCACGATTCCTTAGAAACGGAAGCAATGCCCATAGCCAGGGCGTAATCGCGATACAGAGGAATACGAAAGTTGGAGTCAAGTGTTAGAAGTGTATTCTTGATTCCGGGAAAAAGTTGCGAAAAGCCAAGAGCCTCTGTAGCAAATGCTCCAAACGCACCAAGAGAAAGAATTCCATGGGGGTGATATCCGAAGATATATTTCCTGGTAGGGGGAAGCTCCTGGGTCCGGTGTAGCCTTGCAGGAAAATATGACGCAAAGAGAGACCAAATTGGGGAACGGCGGAAGAATTCCAATCGATGGGTCAAAGTTCCAGAAGTTGATGCTTTAGAAGTAAGGCAGTAGATCATGTATGGAATAAGTAGAGGCCAGAAAAGAGGTATTGCACAAAGGAAAAAGAATAGGGAAACACAAATAGCTATGCAAAGTGTATGAAGAAGAACCACGAGAGTTTGAAGTCTACGTTGTAGAGGGACATTCATCGGGGCAAATCGAATTCCGCTGTTGTGCCATCGCTGACCTGCAATCTTACCACTGGCAAGACTTTCCTCTTGATCCTTCTTTGAAGAACGATTGGGGACTTTGGGATCCTTTGGCTGATCCTTGGATTGAGTTTTACCATCAGCGGAGGCCGATTTGACCGTAACTAACTTGCTTCCGTTTTGAGAACCCTCGACTTTCTCGAACATTGTTGAGTGTTGCTTGGAAATACCCTTGGGGGTGTTAGAAGCTTCCGGTTGTACCTTGCTACTAGGTGCCGAACCACCATTGGCATCTTTGCTCCCATTTTGTGAATCCTCCGAATGGCCATATGATGGCTCTTTAACTACGTTGCTGGCGGCGGTTTTCTTGCTCTTATTCTTTGGACTTTCAACATGTTGTGCCGTAACGTCGTTATCCGGAATACCAGAATGAGTAGCAGCAGCTTCGTGACCCTCTGCATACTCTGAAGAGGCATCAGCACGCGTACGTTGGGGTTGCTCGCCGAGTTTCTGGGTCGCAGCTTTGCGATTATTCTTCTTCTTTGGAGGCGTCTTTTGGGATTCATCTAGACCCTGTTAAAGATTAGCTAGTTTTCAATAGAAGGGCACATCTCATACAGTAGCAGTGTATTCACGGTTCGATTCTTGTCTTTCTGGTTCTGTTCTCGCCTCCTTTTCCTTTGCTATGGCCGAGACAATCTTCAAGATTGGAGCAGTTCTCGGTACGGCAGAAGATCCATTCTCCTTCCCGCTAGGCTCGTTGCTTGCGCCATTTGGTCCGTTGGTGGTGGAATTTACCTTTGGTGCGGATTTTGGCTCCTCAACCGCGATGTCAGCGTACGACCTCGGTGGAAGGTGTTGCCTCTTCCGTTCTGCCGGTTTAGATGGCTCGGCGTTTAGGGCGCCTGGCGGAGCCATTTTTTCTTGTGTTCTCGAGTTGATGACTCTGGATACTTGGATTGAAGAAGATTGGAATGGCAGATTGCGGCAAGCAATGAAAGATGAGGTAGGTGTGGTCCTCCAGGTTTTAGAATTGCGCCTTCCTGTACTGGTACTGTACGTACCAGCGGCTCACTCGCACCTTCATTCCAGCATGACGTTTAGCGTCAAACCCAGCAGGAAGGATGTACAAGGGTTAACAACCGTGCGGCCTTTGCCATTGACACACCATCATTCACTGCCGCAGTTCATTGCCTTTGTCTTTAGCGCTATAATCGACTTTCATAGGTTACGTTACTTATCCTAGACAGTTGGCATTCAATCCACCCTGTGCTGTGATCAAGTAGAGCAGATAATACTGTTTTGTGAAAGACTTGTGTCTCCTGATTTTGACTTCTGATACCTCTCTCTCACAAGAAGAATCTCCCAAAACAACGTAGCTTCCCAAGAGTGATAACATGCCAATCCCTCGCAGCTTCTTCTTTTATTAACCTTAATCTTCCAGAACAATTGCTTTGTTTGTGTTAGACTTTTTGGTAAATAAATCTAGCAGCTCTAGAGGAACTGTAATTTATAAGAGAGCTGTTTGTTGCCGCTCATTCTACCCATCACAAGCCAATTTCTTACACACACAGCCAGACCATACAAAGTGTATTACTAAAACATTCATTTTAGAACACTAGAACCATTAATGCGTCTTGTAAATCCTCCTGTAAGCAAAGGCAGAGGCAATAAATCGCCAGTGAACATTGGCAATCTACTCTTTATAAGGCGTTACAAAAGTCCCAATCAACAACAAAAAGACAGAACGCCCAAGCTTGAAGAGAAGAAAAACCAAAGAAAAAAATCAAGGATATCTTCGTAAACCTGTCACAAAAAGGCTCGCTAGAATCTACAATTACACATAAGCCCGGCCACGCCGACACCCCCGACCTCGCCCCCCCAAGAATACCCCAGCTCCAGGAATTGTGAGAAAATAATAACAAAGTGACTAGTCCGTCAAAGGCTAGATGGAGAAGTCACAAGATTCTGTGATTTGCATAAGAAACACTTTTGTCGCAACTGCCCAGAAAACCCCCAACGCCATCCCCTGATCGTCAGCCATCAGATATTGGAAAGATTGATGTCTATCTTTACATCCTTCCCATACGCCTCATGTACACCTGATCGTCAAATGATTGCAGAACACATTCGTGTACTTGTACCCCGTGGATTTTATATATTACGAGGGGGCATTTTGGTGTTGAGACTGACCTTGCCCAGCAAGTTGGTTTCTGAGCGAAAATACTTCTTCGGAAAGCCGCTCAATTTTGTCGTCTTTCATTTTCGCATGTTCTTCCATATAATGAATCGTCTCAATCAGCTGCTTGGCTTTATCCTCCAGTTGCTGGATGTAAGCAAATGCATTTCCTTCGTTAGCAAAGAGATTGGGATTGCTATCGACGCTGCCAGATGCTTGGTGATTTGACGAGCTGTTAGTACCACGGCTTGAACTCGAACCTTGTGGTAGATAAGTTGACATTCCAGAAGTAGAGCCTGATGATTGCTGCGCCTGCTGAGCATGCTGCGGGGCGTTTGGAGAACCTAGTTGACTTGGAGTCTGGCTAGAAAGCGTATATCTCTGATCAGGAGGGGCCAACGATGATAGTGCTGGTAGCTTGGAAGTATGTGAGTTACGTGAAGATGGAAGCGACACACCAGGCGGTGAGTTTCTTCCAGACTGCCGGCGCCCAAATTGCTGTTGCTGAAACTGAGTGGTTAAACTCGGCGATCTTTGTCGATTCATCATTGATACGTCATGCCCTAATTGATGTCCATGCATTCCAGATGGACTGAGTGGTTTAGGACTCTCCGTCATTCCGCTCTGCGAAAACATTGAACCACCTCCAGTATTAAGCGATGTGATACTTGTGTTGGGCGAATGTCGACCACCCATGTTATTCTGCATGTTCTGGGGGCCATTTGAGCTGGAAGAACCATTTCGTTCGGCAATGGGTGGGTACAAACCCCCTTGATTTTGACCTAGTCTCGGTCCAGCAGGTGGATATGTGCTTGGAGTGCGCGACTGAGGTTCATGATTATCTGCGCTGCCTGAATTACTTCCCACATGTTGAGCTTTGATACTAGGGAGACTGAATCGTCGGCGTTCCTCCTCAGTCATATCAGCTTCATTTTGCGGGGTTCCAGTCGTGTACATAACACCATCCATTCCCTCGTCACCGTCGCCGCCATTAGAACCCTCAAGGTCATCGTCGCCCCCAAAACTGCCCATACTAGCTCTTCTACCAGCACAACCACCTTGGCCTTTGCTATGTCTCGCCAAAGCATCTCCTCGAGCAAATTTGCGATCGCACTTGGGACAGACATGAGGTCTCTCCCCAGTATGTAACTTCATATGTCTCTTGAGGTCGTGGAGCCTTCTGAACCTCATATTACAGGTTTGGCAGACAAACGGCTTTTCCTGGCTATGTGTCAAAAGATGACTTTTAAGGTTATGATGACGAGTGAACTCGGTAGCACAATATTGACATTTGTGTTTCTTTTGCGAGGGAGAACGAGGTACTAAGTGTTGGCCTTGGCCAGGCATAGGTAGACTCATGCCGCGTGGAGGTATTCGTGAAGAATCTATTCGACCTAGAAGGTTGCCCGGAAAAGATAGAGCTCGGTTCGATGATTGAGCGTCACTAGGGGCTTGGAGGAGGGCTCCATTGTGGGCTCTAGTATCCCGATTTTCTGCTTCAATGGCACTGGTCATTGACGTTGGGCTAGCAACAATTGTCGATCCAGCAGTCGCAGTTCTTCCTGTGCTACCCATACTTGCTATGCTTGTAATACTTGCAGGGCTGGTTTGACTGGTTTCATCGAACTGCATAGGGCTAGGAAGAGATATAGGGTTTGAGGTGGCCGATGTGCCTTCACCCATATTCGCAACAGGTGCGGGGCCATCCTGGGGTTTGCTCATATTCGATGCGCCTGCAGCCAGGAGAGAAGATAATACTTTGTGAGTCGGGTTCTCGCTTACAGCGCCTGGACGTAGGTTCGGGGATTTTTCTCGTTCCCGCTGTGTATCGGCCAGAGCTGCGGCTCCAGTCAGAGGTAGAGGGTGAATGCCAGGTGAAAATGCGCCCTTAAAGCGCGGGGACTTTGGCGAGGGCGACAACGATGTTCCCAACCCCGCGTTTGTAGTGAAGGTTGACGATGGATCTACCCGACCTCGCTTTAGAGATATGTTTTGCGAGGGCTCCAGGTCCGCACCAGAAGGGCTTGCAATCGAAGTCGAGACTGTAGCTGGCGCGGCCAAGTTCTCACGGAGTCCTGAAACTCCTGGTTCTGTCGATTCTTCGGGATCCATGTAGTGAAATATTTCGAGTACGTGATATTATTACGGATCGTGTGATTTTCAATGTAGGAAGCTTGCGCGGGAATGGGTTGAGGTCAAAAAATCATCTCGAGTCTTGACAGTGGTGTGTTAGAGGCAAATGGTTGATGCGCTTCACAAATATCTTCACCAGAGTCAGTGGCAATCCTGAATTTCATGTGTGGAAGGGGCAGACAAGCGTACTTGCAATGCACTTTAAGTGTCGGAAGTCCTCAATGGAAACGATCGCGGGGGCGACTATGGGCGCAACTCGTGGAATCCAAAGACCGTAGCTTTTGATGGGATGAAAGAGAACTCATTCAAGAGAAGATTGGTTTGTGTTCAGGTAAATTGGCGCAATCGTGGAGCTTCCGATTGCTCGCATCAGTGGATCGTGGTTAGGGAGTGCTACTGTTGGTGTTGAGCGAAAAGTGCTAGAGACCAGTAGGGCTGGCAGGATGCGATACGATGTGAAGCTGAGTAAAGATGCCGTCGGATGAAGAGGCTCCAGGGCTCCAGGGCTGTGCAGTGGCTCCCATCGCCGTCATTATTCATCACGTGGGCCAGCAGCTGCCAAGCCTTGTCCGGGTGGACTCTCCCCAGGCTGTTTTTCTCGTTCCCACTACTCACAGCCCCTGGGTAACCTTACTATCCGTGTACTCTAAAAGTGGCAGAGACTTCTTTTATCTTAGCCTACTGTAACTTAGTTAAAAACTATTTGATTCTGTTATTTTGTTATTCAGTTAGACAAATCAAAATGATTCATCTAAAACGATAGGACAATGAAAGCAGTTGTTCTAGATGCTTCAAACATTTTGATACTTAGAATTAACCTACGTTAATGATCAAAGATGAATCTCGGCCACTTTTCTTGTCCACTAGGAGTCTACCTATGTAGAGTACGAGTTCACTACACTACCTACCCACCCCCGTTCCCTGTGCTGAAATATTTACGAGTCCGCACTTGCAATGGCTACCTATTATTGCTGGCGCTCCCAAACTGCTCATTTCTCTTTCAAGGATTTCCGGAGTGAGGTCCGCTAACGATCACTGCCCGCACCTGCATCCAGAAGAGCGAGGAGCCAACAAATATCCTGGGGTACGGAGGCAGTCAATAACTCTTTCCCTTTTGGATGGGGCCCCTCTATGGGGTTGCGGATACTCGAGTACACCAGTCGGACTTCTTATCTGTTTTTAAGCTGTGCTGTGCCCCAGCCTCAATTTTGAACGCCCTCGACGCCCTCGAGCACACCCAAGACGAAAAAGCAATCGCTTGGCCCAATAGTTGCCCTGGTATATATATTACAACGGCTGACCGGGATTTGACCTTTTTTCCCTTACGCCACAGAGCATGGGTAATTACCAAAGTGGCTCTGATTCTTTCCAATTAATCTGGGAAGAGCGCAGCAAACCTGGTAACATTCACGATGGGATGAGGCTGCATGCTCTGTCGTTCGTCATCAGCCACTGGTCGACATTTTACCCCATTGTGTTGGTCACAACCGCCCCTCTTTTTCATGAGAAGAATTGCCTATTTAGTTTACCGAATTTAAAGTTTCTTGATATCAGAGGCAGATACATGCCAGGACGGAAGTGTTCTGCATGTCCAATGAGGCTCTGTGGTTTGGCGAAGCACGAAGACGACCATGAGGCATTCGCTGCCCAAGGAACTCTTCAAATGAAGGAGGTTCAGTCAGTAGTGGACGCTACTGTAAGTATCTCAATCGCCTTACGAACCTCCTGACCTAGGCAGCATCACCTCTTGGCAAAGCATACAGAACTTGTGAGAATTGTGAAGCGGTGTGGGAAGTACAAGTGCACCCCCAGGTTTTGACTCAGATGGTTACAATCCTATTTTGAGAGCATTGTGTCCAGATCTAAAGCTTAGTAAACCTGATAACCAGTAATCGTTAAGGATTCCATTTACTGAACCTGTTTTTCTTATGAGATGTATATAATTAGCGGTTGTTCAAATTTGATTTCCTTTGACTAGGTAGATACATGAAAGCGATTCAGTTAGATTACGCTCTCTAACTTCTTTTATCCTAAATCTCCTATATTAATTTACCAAGGCTTAATACTATAGGAATAAGAATAACTTAGAGAGGGATTATTAGCTATCTACCTTTTAATAGAGGAATAAGATAGTAATAGAAAGGTTATTGTTCGTTTCTTTTTATAAAAGAGATATAAGGATTTATAAATACCTAAGTAGTAGTAATACGCTTCCTTCTGATTTTGTTGTCTGTTTTCTTAAACTAAATTTCTTAAACTAGTAAAGATATATTTAGAACTTTAGATTTAATTAGTAATTTACTAAGACAATTAGCCCAACTAATAACTTTATAAGAAACCTAGTAATTACTCTATATAACCTATCAAAAGTTAATGTAACGAAATTCTAGTACAACCAGGATTTTAAAGAGTAGTAGAAGATTACTTGTGAAATATTAGAAGTACTTTTCTTTTAAGCTATAGTTTTAGGTAATCTATTATTTTGAAACTATTAATATAGAGATCTCAAGTGGTTTTAAGCAAAGGGAAACACATAATTCCAAAAGTGATATAATATATGATAATGTCCTAAGTTAAAGGAGTGAAAGTGTTTGAGTACTCTGGGTACTTAAACCAACAGGTTCTACATTGAAACGCGACTAGGCGAATATATCCTAATATAACCAAAGGGTTAGAAGACGAGGGCACAATGTGGAATGGATAAGCTGGTACACAGAGAGAAGAGCTAGCTAGGGGGCGAGCAGGGCTCTAATATAGGAGCTGACTGTCGACCTGGAAGTCTCTGGAATAGTACTAGCGCCTTCCATAGAATATGCTAGTGCCAGACAGTGGAGCTGAGAGCTCGTGTCGTAACACAAAGACAAAAAAACCAGTACCCTGGGTAAACTCTGCAAGTTATTGTATCTCAAGTATAGACTCTACTTTTGTCTTGGTCCAACAAACAACTCCACTGTATGGTATTCCATCCTACTTCCCACCATTCTCTTCACCTGCAGCTGTGACGGAGCTGGATTTCATTCGCTTGGCCAAGCACGTGACGAGACTTGGCATTGGAACAACTTAAATAACTTCGCTCCTTTCAGATTCTCTTCTCTCTTTAGTTTGATTTCTTCGTACCTACGGTTTTAGTTCTAGCAATTGATTCAAAAGCTGTATACACTTTATCCTTTGTTGGCATCCGTGACAGCAGCCTCCTCAACAGGCGTCGCAGTATCCGCATCACTTGGATAATCACCTACCAAAACACCATCAGCATCTTTCTTTCTCTTTCTAGACTGCCAAAGAGCCTCCACTCCATGAAACACCTTATAACAAGAGTCCACCAGGAAAAAATTGAATGTCTGCATACCAGGCCCCAAGTAATAGGTTCCATAGTTGGACTTGCCCAATCCTCCACCATTCTTCTCTGTAACATCCAACTCCACCAAATCTCCCTCTTTCTCTCCCTCCCCAAATTCGAAGATCCGGTAATCAGCATTATAATACCCCTTGTGACTAACTCCTACCCTCAAGAAGCCCGAATGAGAAACAATAACAATAACCTTCTCCGGTATGCTTCTCAACCATTCCTTCGCCATGGTTCCCCTCTCCATAAGTCCCTCTCGCGAGAAGCGATAAAGACCCGTTTTGGAAGGCCAAACGGGGTCCACAGCAGACCAGTCGAAGTCTGGGAATTCGCGTGAGATGATGGGGATAGGAGAGCCGATATCACATGGTTTATCTGAGTTCTCTTGCCATTCTGCGCGTAGGATGACAGGGACTCCACGATCTATGAGGAAGCCGAGACCTTGCTGGGCGGTTTGGAGGGTTCGTCGCATGGGGGAGATTACTATTAGTTCGGCTTTTTGAGCTATGGGGTCGGTTTTTAGAGCTTCTTGGAGCTCGGTGCATTGCTTCTCGAAGCCCAAGGGGGACGAGAGGGGTGGATCGGGGATTGAGTAGTCTTGTGAGAGGAGATGTTAGTTTTTGTGTTGGTTGTGAGCGGCGAGGTGGACTTATTATTAACATCTGGAGGTTGTGTGTTAGTGAGATCAATGTGTGAGAAGTGTATTTTGGAGATAACTTACTGTGGAGTGCTTGAGCATGTCTGATCAAAATTACTGTAGGAGGCATTTTTGTGGATGTATTTTTTGTGTAAGTTCTTAGAAAGTTGGAGGTGAAAGAAGTCCAACAGGTTGGTGGTATATCCGCTCGTAAATTCTCACAACACCAGTCAGGCTCACTGGGAGGGCTGTGAATCCATACCACCCCTGTCTAGGCTGTGAAGGACGATAAGGATAAGGAATCATAAAAGTGGGTCCTGAGGGTGGCAACCTAAAAGGCAACCAACCTGGAAAGCTCACTCACTCTGATACATCTGACTGGTGACAACCATTCTCACGCTGACACAACAATGAGCTTCAAAGCCACTCCAGCTTTTTCCAGTCGCATAAAGAAACCAAAGAAAGCTCCAGCATTCAAGCGAAGCTCATCAGGACTAAATCCATACTCTTCATTATCCTGTCGCAAACCAATACAGAGGGCAGCGACGAAACCAGAGTCTACTGAACACGAAGAGGAGGATTTTTTCGACGACAGACTGGACGATGTTGGACTTGTTAAATCCCTCGTAACGGATCTTATACTTCGCGATGTCCCGCAAGCGGTGTTATATATTAGAGGGAAAATGTGGACTCCACTCCCAGAGCAAAGGACGGGAATGAACTCTGCACGAATCGCAGAGGTGCTGAACTTTCGAGCTTCTCAGTCTCCCATCGTGACAGTTTCTTATATCCAAGCTCTTTTAGACTCGCCAACGGTGGTGGAGAAAGAGATTGCAGAGTTAACGAGAGGAGGCGCAATAAGAAAGATTGTGGTTAATGGGAGAGGACGTATGGGAGAGGTGTTGATACTGGTGGAAGCCATGGAAACTATGATAGAATCAAGAAATATGGATTCGGAACTAAAGAAAAAGTTCATTATATTGTTGCGGGGAAATACTACCTCTCTGAAATTGCCTTCCGGATTTGCAGCAAATGAGGTAAAAGAGCTGATGAAAGCAGGATTTATAACCTTCTCAAATCCCAGCTGAACAGTCACCGACGCCGTTACTAGACCTGGGGATGGCTCGCGAGGGACTTTGACTTCTATCGATAGTATCTCCAGAGCCGCGTCAGGTTCAATGGCAGCAGTCGGAGGAGAGGGCGCCGTTCATGCAGCTGGGGGAAGTGGAGGAGGGGCAAAATCGTCGACTACTCAGGAATACGATTTGGCACTTCCTGGAGCAGGCCCCTTTTTAAAACTTTTGTCAAATGCTCGGACTCACCTCCTGTCGTTGTTATCGAAGTCTAAGTATCGAGAAGCACCGGAGTCTCTCCTTCATCAGCGATGGGATGGTGGAATTGCCATTGAAAACGATACTACTGCAGCAAAGAGAAATCGTGGCGAGTTTGCTGGTGTGCTGCCAGGACGTACTAGGAAATGGAAGCAGTTTAATGGGATTTCCTTTGAATGGATTCTAGGGGAATGTGTCGGAGCTGGACTTGTTGAGGTGTTCAATACTGGGAGCGTTGGAAGGGGAATAAGGGCATTATGATGTACATGTCTTGCCGAGGAGCGGAAATATTGAGAGCGTATGTTGAACCAATAGAATTTCCAAGCGAGCAATCACCTTTCTTTTTCGAAACCCTCTCTAGCAATGCTTTTCAAGGTTGTCCTGTAAATGGATTCCTCATTAAGAAGAGGGTTAAAGATTGCTAGTCTCACATCAGGCTACATATATTAAATAAGATCTTTAAAGTTCAACCCCTCAATCGCCGGTAGGGGAGTGATGTGTTTAATCAGGGGCTTCTTATCGGAAAAGGTCCACACTCGTTTTGGACGACGACCCTTGAGCATATCTTTCCTAAAGAAGAACTAGGGTCGTAATAATGAAACCCCCGCATCTATACATCGCAATTAATAAAAAAATATAAAAAATATAAAAACCAGACAAGAGTTCTTTCTTAGAAACTTTCATCCGGAGAAAATGTTTTGAAGGGGATGTGGAGAGACCTTGAAGGTGGATTTTTACCCGGCATTGAATTTTCGTACATTTTTACGCGTGTTAGTTTAGCCATTTCAAAATCGAAAAATCCCCGGAAAGTAGGATCTGGCCTGAGACAATCTACACGGGATGAACACGATATCAGTAGTGGTGATTGAGGGGATGATGGGTCGAATCGCGCAATATGGATCAGGATCCATTCTTGATGGTGAGGAGGGGCAGAACAGACGGAATGGCCCTTGCGACGTGGTCAATGGTTTCTCGACGACCTTTCGATAAGACTGGTTCTCGGATAGACTTTCACTTTGTATCCGGGCTAGCAAGAGTCGTATTGGACTGCAGTGCATGTAGCATGCAGCATGGCTAATTCTGCATGCACAAATTGAAGATTTCTACTTATAAACTTGACGAACACGTTATGCCCGCGGGCCAATTCCATCGAGGTTCAGGGTGTTTGCTGGTTGGTTAGGTTACTGCCAGATTGCGCTTCTTGACTCAATGACTAGAGATGGGATCTTTCAGAGGCCCCTGCGTATCGGACCGTACATAAAGCGTTCTCCATGACGGTGATTGCGGGGAGACGGTACCGTACTAAGACGAGCTTAACAAGAAGTATGCTGGGGTGTATGGGTGGAGCACGAAGTAGTATCTCCATGTGTGAAGCGGAGGCTCTTACTCGCTAGAAGCCCTTCTTTTTATGCGTAGAAGATTGCAACGACCGAGGGACTCGTAGAAATCTGTTCTTTGAATGGCCTAAAAAGCAGTCTTGCCAGCCTCTGTTACTCTACCTACACATGCCAGTATACATGTTAAGGTCAAAGTACTACTGGTACGGTACAGGTAAATTAGATGACCGGATGAGGAGATTTATACCGCTGCCGCTAGGAGTCTAGCCATGACCTCGTACAAGCGGCACGAAGTACTGGTGTGGTAACGCCACAGCTGTAGAATGAAATGGCAGAGACTCAAAGTACGCTAGAGGCGGGTTTGACACTGACAGCTGGAGGTCTGTCTAATTAAGGCGCTTTCTGGGGGAAGTTGATAGGCCGGCCTTGTACTACTGCGTCGTGTTGTAGTATTGTAGTGGAGTAGTCTAGATTCATTGCAACGATTTCACACTACCTCCCTATTCTAATGCTCTAATGCCGTCGTACACTTGGTGTTGATTTGAGGACTCCTACCTACTGTAGTAGATATTAGTACATTAATAATTCTGCACTTGCCCAATCAACCAATGCCTCAGCTACAACACTGCCCAATCTTGATATAAGTAATTGCCAAGTTGGACTTTTCCTGGTAACGACTCGGAGCTCGGAGTGATCTCTGGATTAGGGTCCTGGGTCCATACGCAATACAGTCCCGGTGAAATCACCTGTAGAGGGCAGATCGGCAGCCCTCGCTCGCTTAGACTATCAGGACCTCAGTTTTGTTGTTGGTACTCTAGTAAACAGTTCTACATTCTGCCTCCTCCCATGCGCCCTGTCCGCCATTTTAGGATTAGGATCGAGGGAAGAAACGAAACCCTTGATGGAATGAAAAAAGATCCCCAGAGTGTTTTGCAATTGTACTTCAAGGAAAGAAAGCGCCCCAGCGGATGGATGAGTGGTGATATTAATATTCAGGAACCGGCGCAGACAGGCGGCGTATCCTCATCGGCACCTCCTCCAAAACATCTGGGCAGCTCCTGGGAAGTTCCTCTCTGGTCGAGTACGGTACCGCACGGCACCGCACGGCACCTCTCCGCCCGCTGGTCCAATCACTGGCCCATTTCTGCACTCAGCCTGCACTCCACAGGAACTCAGTCCGGGAAGACTTCCTTTCTCATCCACACTGACCACGGACGGCACCCTGACCATCAACCCCGGAAATCATTGAACCACAGTACTTTAATTGCTGCACTCTGCACTGTCGCCCGCAGGCTGCAGAGGCACAGGCACAGGCACAGTCCAGGATACTCCGTACAGTACAGTATTCAGTACAGTAACTATCCCTCCCTAATCGCTCTCCCTCGTCCGTTTCCGTCCCCATCATTCACTCAATCCACCGCCGGCAACGCTAGGCTAGCTCCTATCCTGGCTCCCTGGCTCCTAGCTATCTCCTCGTCTCTTTCTGGCACTTTTACTCGAGCCTTGTCACTTTAGGTCTTTCGGCAAAATTACCCTTACGCTACTTCTTCTGCTTGCTTCTCGACTTCACTGTCGCAAATTGTTTTGACAACACCATCACCGTCGCTCCTTCCTCCAATATTTTCTTTACACTTACACGTACACACTTACCTCCACCTACACCTGCACTCCCCTCGGCTTACCAGCGCGCCGTTCCCGCGATTAGAGATCCGAGATCTGATTCAACTGCCGCCGATAATAACCTTAAACCTGCCCAAACTTCAAGGCCTTCTCACGCACGAGTACTTGTCAGTCCACCTGCACTTCCACCTGTGTCTCCTTCGATTTCGCCCTCTTCCGGCGTTGTGATACCTCGAGCTGAACCTCGCCTGCAGGTTCCCTTCACTCGTTTCACTGCATAATCACTCGAACCCTAAGCCTGGGTATATTGCAGCAATTATAATCAACGACAGACACGATAACACGTTTCCCACGTTTAAGTACTCCGAGGTGGAACGAATAGGAGAAAATAACTTGGTCCAATATCCACCGAGGCATTTGTGTCGAGAGCTGCGAAACGAAAGAACCTTCAAGACCGAAACTGCGTTGCGTAGCAGGAAAAAACCGGTTGTGCAATACAAGTACTACCAAAACACCATCTACGTTGATCTAACCCCCCACGACAACCCAATCGTTTACGCTGCGGGATGATTCGTTAATCAATCCTCGTCGCTTGTTCGAATTACACAACATAAGAACTCGAGCTCGTCTATACCCAACAAGTTGATTTCCAAGAGTCTCGGCCAGGACCCGAACCCATTGGTTGCTGCCGAATCATCCAACGTCCTGCCGGCACAAGGATAGTCAGGCGGCTACGTATTTCTTTTCCGCGACCGCGGGGTTTTAGATTTTGGTTGTCCTCATAATTTTGCGAATACGTCCACCATCACCCGAAGCTTGCATATTGTCAAAGTAGATCAGCCACGATCAAGGGCGATCTGGTATTGCTGTTCGCAGGGAAGTCGGTGTTTCGAGCCCCCTCCACGTGAGTTATAGGTATTGCTTAATTTCACATCAATTCCGTTTCCCTGGTTTCGCCGCGCATCAAACACTGTATGGTTGATATTCATTCACTCCCTCTACTTGGCTGGTGTTGATCAACAAACTGATCTGGGAATCAAGTGCACTGACTGTACGTTAGCTTCAAACGATAAGCTCTGGCATATCGGCTTGCATAATATCACGTTTCAGGCTTCCCAGTACAACGGAAACTCTGACTCTTTACCTACTGGCCTGATAAGTCGGACGAAAGCTCAAATTACTGCTCGAGGCTTCCTCTTGGACCCATCGTTTCTCCCCCCCGGCTCATTTTAAGCTCAAAGCATTGAAGAAGGCTCGGTTTCATGGACTGGGGAACCCCCACACCCCAATAGAGAGCTAACCAGACTGCTCAAGTATTTCGTACAACCAACTTTGGGCGATCTCAACCACGAAGTTTTCGCAATTTACCACATACACGAGGTTTATCATGGCGTCAATTCCACGGCCATCGAGGCCAACGTTCGGGCCTCCAACCACTGCGTTGCCGGCTTTGCCTACGAAAAAGACCCGCAAAAGCACCGGTAACATTCCAACACCCTCCGAAATTAGCCCTGGCCCAATACCAAGTCTCCCACGAAGCGCATTACGAACGCCTTCGACGTCCACACTTCACTCTCCAACAATGTCTGGCAGTACGTCCCTACCCAAGACGAGGTTGACACCAGGTGTGAATGGCGCTGGAAAGACAATTCGCAAAACAATCAGTATTAATGCCTTTCCACAACCTCCACGGGGAGGGGTCAGAACAGCCAGTCTGCCCCCGAGTCCCTTGGCCGGTGGTTTAGCAGCACCATCTGCGGGCTCGAGTGGAAGAGGATCTTCTGACAACAATTCGACAACACCAGTAACACCTAGTAAACTTCGAGGCCAACGACCAAGAATTGCAACCACTCCAAATTCGCAAGGTTTCGTCGGCAGCACCACGCCAAGTCTCCTTAATGGCAGTGGGGATAATCGATCGATATCGAGCGGGCCGGGGGCTCGAGGTTCAGATGGCCTCTTAAGTCTTCCATCTCCGCCTCATAGCCGAAGCTCTTCGGCGCAGGGTTCATATTCGACTTCGGCTACAACTTTCGAGGGAGAGCATGGAGAAGGCGTACGAGGGCGGGACGCATCTGTGGATCTTGGCAGTGAAAATCGTCGAGCATCGAAACCACCAGAGGGAAAGGGCAACGTAATTGTTAGCGTGAGGGTTCGTCCGGATGCTGGCTCTACGGGAAACTCGGATAAGGCAGGCGGAGATTGGATGATTGATGGGAGACAGTCGCTTGTGTCATACCGAGGGAAGGAAGCTGGGGATTATTATTATGGTAAATCCGTTCCGGCCTTGCTACCTATCAGATGCTAACTTTCTTGTCAGACAACGTTTTTTCAACTCAAGATAATAACGCAAAGGTCTACGATTCATCAGCGAAGCGATTGGTTCGAAGGGTAATGGAAGGATATCATGGAACAGTTTTTGCATATGGAATGACGGGCACAGGAAAGACCTTCTCCATGCAGGGTACAGCCAGTTCGCCTGGTGTTATTCCTTTAGCCATAACCGATATTTTTTCATACATTCGAGAGACGCCATCCCGCGAATTCCTTCTCCGAGTCAGTTACTTGGAAATCTACAACGAAAAAATACACGACCTTCTGAGTGCTACACCTGTAGGTGGTGTTGGACCTGGCGCCGGACAGCAGGAAGAGATCAAGCTTCGGCAAGATAGCAAACGGGGTGTCTATGCCAGCCCACTCACAGAGGAGATTGTCCAGAGTCCAACTCAACTTTTGAGGGTAATTGCGAGAGGTGACCAAGCCAGGAGGACATCAAGTACCCAATTCAACGCTAGAAGTTCTCGAAGTCACGCAGTTGTTCAGATTGTGGTTGAAAGTCGAGAACGCGTTCCCGGGAATGGAAATATGACTGATAAGCGGTCTGGAATAGTCCCCGGTGGTGTTCGAGTTTCCACTCTTAGTTTGATCGATTTGGCTGGTTCTGAGAGAGCTGCAGAGACGAAAGAGCGAAGGACTGAAGGATCGCACATAAACAAGAGTTTGTTGACTCTTGGGACTGTCATTGCTCGACTTTCAGGGGACAAAGATAAAGACGGAAAACCAACTGACAAAGACGGAAAGCATCTCCCCTACAGAGATAGCAAGCTCACTAGATTGCTCCAGGGAGCTCTATCTGGAGACTCGCTCGTTAGCATTTTGTGCACAATCCAAACTGGGGTATCAGGAACTGCTGCTACAGCAAACACCCATACTAGTGAAACACTCAACACATTGAAATTTGCAGCAAGAGCGAAGAACAATATCGTCAGCCATGCCAAGAAGGCCGATGATGCATTGGGTCCAGGTGGAGATGGGGCAAGAGGTCTGCTTGAGAGATACCGGATGGAAATTCTAGACCTTCGCAGTCAACTTGAGGGACAAACCAAGCATAAGCCGGACGACGACGAAGTGAAGCGAGAAAAGGAAGCCGAGTTGCGCCACGAGGAACAGATGCTAGAGATGCAATTGGCTCGAACGGCACTGAAAGACAGGATCGAGCATCTTAACCGTCTCATTCTGAGTTCGAAATCAACCGGAGTAAACGCAAGTGGTTCATACTCTTCATTGAGCAACCATCCTAGACTCTCAAAGGTACCATCAAGCGGTCATCTTTCATCTATGTCGATGCGGTCATCAAGGGCACCTTCAATGAAAGGCCGAAGGTCGCTAGACCGATCATCGTCGATTAACTCAACTTCTACCATTGGCCAACTTCCAATTAACAATCGATTATCCGGTGATCATCATTCTCTGGGGGATGAAGATTCAATTGGTGACAATGGTGATGGCACAGCCAGTCTAGCAGCGCAAAACCGTGCTCTCCAAGCAGATCTGGCTGACAAAAATCGATATTGCCAAACCCTCGAAAAGCGTCTACTTCAAGCCAGGCGCACAAGCCACTCTAGATCATCAATCAACTTCTCAATACCCGGGAAGTCAAGCGTGATGGTTGGCGAAGACCATGGTGTTGCTGCTCTTTTGAAAGAAAAGGATGCCGAGATTGCCAATCTGCGCTCCCAACTAGACGATAAGGATCGAATGTTAACGGCACTTCGTAGTGCAGCACGATCGAGGGATACAGCTGATAGAGATCCTCGTTCGTCCGGCTTCGCTGCACTAGCACTGCTTGACGAGGGACCATTGAGTCCTGTATCCGCCAGAACTTCGCAACTCGTGGAGGCCAATGCCCCGGCTGTTGTGAATCACAAAGTCCGAAAGGATAGCAAATCGGTCGATGAGATGAGCAAGATGCTCGATGACATGATCCAGGATCGTGTAGAGAGCGGGCAACTCGTCAAGGGCGTCAGAGGCAGCATTCGTCTTCCTAGTGAGCAACGGAAGAAGGAGATGGCCATCGCTGATCCAATGCCTGGTTCTATTAGCAAGAACTTACCACCAACACCAATCGAAGCACCTACTCCGGTACCTGAAGTAATATAATTACACACGAAAAACCACAAAACAAGAGGGGAGTGTATGATAAATGGGGAATGTGTATAATGAAGTCACACCCGGATAGAAGACACTTGTTGATCGAGGCGTAGCGTTCTGGGAATATTCTTTTTCTCACTGTCCTTTTCTTGGTGCTTTTTCTTTTGTTTATACCCCACGCATCGAGCTCTTTTTTTGCATTTTCCTCCTCCGTCTCACGACGGAAACCCCGAAACCTTGAGAGAGACTCCAAAATTCAAAACATTTGTACCCCTTTTGTCATCCTGATGCTTGCTCTCTTTGGGTTAATAAATCAGGATGGAGGCGGGTTTTTTTCTTCTTCTTTTTTTCTTTTCGTCTGTATACTACAACCATATTGGAGAATTCCTTTGGCTTTGGGCGTTTGTGTTGTCTTGTTCGTTGTCTGCCTTCGCTCGTTGCTGTTCAATATCTCTTTTTTGTCTTTTTTCTTTAGTTGGAGGGCTTATTTGGATTGTTGGGGGGGGCTTGGTTTGGTTGGCTTGGCTGGATGCTTGCTGGGCTTGCCTGTTACTTTGTTAATAGATACCAGATGAGAAGCTTATTTGGGCGAGAATGGATTATTGGGAGGGGGTTGTATAGAGCGAGAGCGAGCAGAGAGATGCAAAATGCACAAATGAAGATGCAATTATGAAATATGTTCACGTACTTGAATCTGGATTTGATTGTTCTGTCTGTGAGAGACGGATGGGATCAGATAGCGAGAGAAGTGAATGAATAGGCCAAGTCTGGATTCAACCAACAACGGACAGGCGATTTTGAGTGCAGCTAAGGTCCAGGTGAATAAGAGAAAGTAGACTCAAGAATGCGACACTCCGAGTCCTTATGCATTCCCATCTCTCCAACCTCGCCAACCCCAACCCCAATTTCAATTCCAAAAAAAACCCCCCCGACGACCCAAAAGAATGGTATTGTGGAAATGATCCACCCTCTACGTATATTACACATCACATTTTCTTTATTTTATCTTCCGCTGGCTGGCTGCTGCACAAGGCTGGATTGGATGGGAAGAGATGGGAAAGGAAACGAATGAAAGGGGCTCGGGCTCGGGGTTAGAAGAATGCGTGAAGGAGGCTCAGTAATGGAATCCAATACATCAGGTTAATCAGGGGATGGTAGATTTTGGTTGGTTGGTTGGTGTTGAGGGGATGGATGGGATGGCTGGTATGCATGAATTAGGATGCAGCTGAGCTGTGGGTGTTGTACGGTGGATTTATTTGCTGATATCAGGCTTTTTCTGTGGCTTGAGGTGATGAGGAGGGGATGGGTTAAGATGGTTGGGACTGAGGTTTGGGTGATTGTTATTTCTTTCTTTTTTCATTTATTTTTATTTATTTACTTTTTCCGATTGTCGTTTGTTTTATGGGGCGGCGGCTTAGCTTGGCTGGTACTGTTCACGGTGGTTTTAGATGGAAATCGGATATCAGATTTCGAGATATGACGAAGACGGGGTTCTCCAGGTTGTGGACTTGGCGTTTGTTTTATTGGGAATTGGAGTAAGGGGTGTGCACTGGATGTGATGTGATGTGGATTCTGGAAGCGGGGGGGATCTGATGGAGATCTTGCGTGATTTTCTTCTGGGGGAGGGGCCACGTTTCTTATTGTGTTTGCTTTTTTTGGAGGGGTTGTTTGGGGTATGTAAGATTTATGTATGTGGTGCTCGCTCGGGTGATGGAAATTGTGGCATTTTTGCATTTGGAAAGAATAGTGGGTAAATTGTTGGGAGTTTTATTGAGGGTTTAAGGAGGAGATATGGTGTGGTAGCTTATGTTGACAGAGGAGCCCTGTTGGGAACATACTGCTACTGTTAATGGTATATTTAGATATCTCTGATGAAAACGAATTCACGGAAAAGTAAGCCAGCACCGTCTACTGAGGCGTCACGTAGTAGAGCAGAACCGAGAATTTTGCTGCCTCCGTTAGTCTTTTGTATGCATTCGTTACATGGACGCGGCTGTTATAACTATATAAATAGCGTGCTAAGCAAATATGTATTGGTAGTAATACGATGCAAGCTAGAAAATCATTTTTGGCTTGAAAGTTTCTGGTTTGCTTGTTTAGATTATCTTGTAGGTAAAGTGTACATAAGTTGTTTCGTAAACGAAAGAACTACCACCTAATTTAGTAGTTTCTTCGCTTCTCAACGAGGCCTAAAAGGCTATTTCAACTACTGTGCCATAACAAAACTGGAGCGACGTTTGGGCTGTTTTTGATTCTAGACCACTGAAACTGCATCTTCCATGATTCAGCTACGCACACAAGGCGTAATTAGGTTCAGTATAGCAGATGAGTCGTGATGACGGATAAAAGGGTCGAGCGAATGGGTTGGACATGAGACGGAAAAAAGGTATCGCAATAGATAAGCAGACTCATGTCATGCTGCGAATCTGTCACTGGTATAATTCATACTTCGTTCCAGGCATGTTAACTGTAACTTTTTCAGGTAGCTTCAGTAGTACAATAGAGTACAAGGTTAAAACCCCTCGTAAAAGCTACAATTATATGCTTTGGACGAACAGACGAACCCATATGTGGCGTGGTAATAACCTTCCAAGAACCACGAAACTCTCGAGAGGGGAGCGCTATGCAACAACTTCCCCCAAAAGATCGGTGTGGGGATTTTGTCATATTTCCATAAATGTAGGCATGACTACACAACGGGCATTTCCTTTATTCGAAACTGTTGGATGTAACCACTGACTTGTAGTGGTCTTACAAATGGTGTAAAATTGAACAGATTGCGAAGGGTGTAGGACAATGTATGATGGATGATTGCAAATGCAAAGTCCCTGTCACTACAGTATGCGAACTACAATATCAGTGACGATCTGATACTCGAGGACGAGGCTCTGCCGCGAGTCAAAAATGTGCCACAGCACGCGCTTGCATAGCATTAGAGTGTCGGATTGTGCGAAAGTCTCATGGCAACTGCCGGATAGTAGTCTGCAGATGCTTCAGCGATCCAACTTGATGAACCAGACTAGCTTCCCGGCAGGAGGACAATTTTTTTTTTGCCCGGGAAATGTTGGATGGCGTCTTGAGACCTCTCAGGTTCTAGGAAACGAATAGTAGATATTCTTAGATCAGTGATGGACAGCACTTGCAACAACTCACCCCGCCACTACGCCAACCACATCCCAACAAGAGGATGCACGCATGCAGCAGATCAAGATGCGACACAACCCAACAGCGCCATGAGCGGGAGTAGCCGATGAAGGAGTACTGGCGATAGTCCTGAAGACGATCTGTAGACTTGGTCGGGTCAATTTGTTTGAAAAGTTTGGCTCGTTTCTCAAATCCCGATAGACAACACACACCTCTTAACGAGACAAAGTTCCACCTGTGTAATCTTTCTGGAAGCTGAGGCGGTGAAGTAAGGTTGTTCAAGCGAACTGGTGAACCGTGAAAGTCATCATTGTACGACGGGTGGTGATTCTACCTGGTTCTACCTGGTTAGGAGGACTCGCTCCGCCGTGTGTTCATGTGGATTGAAAGTCGTGACCTGTGCCACGATGTGGACTTGCACGACTGTCTTAAAATACAGTTCGAGGTCCGCAACTTTGCATGACGTGATGTGATGTGAGATGGGCTGAGAATGTGGTTGTGGTTGTGGTTGATGGGCAGGAAGGGGCGGAGAAATGGAGAAACCTGCTGAATCTTACTCTCAGCATACATCCGAACGGGATGAGGTGAGCTTCGCTTCCAAATCGGCAGATGCGGAACATCGTTTGTGACAAAACCCGAGTATGAGCATGCTGCAATAATTCATCGTAATGATGAATAAGATGAAGGCACATTAGAAATAATAGTAATAAATTATAAATGGTCTTCGGATTTCTACAATGTAAGACATGTGATAGTGTGCCAATGGCATCGGTTATTGATTGGTTGGCTTCTTTCTAAAGGGGGTCTTCAAGTAGTTGTTTCAGAGTAAACAGGGGCCACGTCTTTCAAGCATCAAACGAAATACTCGATGGAAAAGTGCCTCGTCATGATCGCCCTCGCCCTCCCCTCCTCTCACAGCCCCAGCATGCTGCTTCTACCTTACCGAGGTCGCTCGACACGAAGGATCTTCTTTGAGGGGTAGTTAAGTCTATAATTAAATCTATCCTCAAGGAGAGCCAGATGTTGTTGAGTTCAGCGGCCCAGTATCCTTAAGTTCGGGAGGAACAAAGCGAGGAACACACTTATTCCTTATGACCGATCTTCCTGATAAAGATCCTGATATTGATACTTTCTGTCCATGCCATGCCTGCCATGCACTTCAAGGCGGAACGTCTCCTGTTGGACTAACGGGCAGTTGCAACGACCAGCCATGTTCCAGTCGCAATCGAAGCGGGCTTTTCCTTTGATCAACGGCGCATCCAAACTCTCTATCCGTGACCAAACAGAAGCTTATTTACCGTTTGTCCGAAGTTGGATGTGGACGGTGTGCTTGGTAAACGTTTTGTTGTCGTAAACCGGGGATTTCGGGTACACTGTTGACGGTACCCGTACGGAGCATACGAAGTAGACGAGAGGTTTGCGTGAAGGTCTAGAAAAACGGACATTTCCAGCATACGGAGTGATCTGTCAGATCCAGTACTCCCTCCGTCGGATCATGGCTTTTCATACGTAGAACCCGGCTCTCGAGTCTCCCAGCTGGTGAGCCACTCCCTGGCTGCCAAAAGTGGTTACTCCGTATCCAAAAGCCTAAAGGCTCCTCAGAGTTCAGCCTCCAGGCAGTGGCAGGCTGTCTCTGTCTTCTCCACTGGCAGCCCAGGGCTTGGGTAGGCTTGTTGGTCCGAGATCTCCATGCGAAGGCAATCCCGTCAGCCAATCACTGCCTCCCGACCCGATGGGGCATCAGCGATGCTGCGGGCCACTCCTGTTTGAAATCCTTCACTTCTTCCGCTAGCTCTCGCTCTTTCTTTTCTACCATGACATGACCTCTGTTTCTCTTCTACTTTTTGCCTTGACCCTTTATACTTCTCACTTCACCCTTCACACTTCACACTACTTCCTGCTCCCAACCTGCATCGCTCTGCTCGCTTGCTTTTTTGCGTTGGTTGGTTGTAAGTGAGAAGTGACCAATTCAACTTGAAACTTCGCCTTTTTCTTCTTTCCCGCACGTAGAGCGTGCTGTCGTCATTTTATCCTTTCACGACTCAATCGCTCGTCCAATTTCCTCCGCCCTGGTACCTTGGCCGCCCATTCACCTGATTTGCACCACGAGGGATCCAGGAGTAAAATAAATTTAACTTCGTACTTCTCCTCCTGAACTCTCGCCTTCTCCTTTCCAAACAGAAGGTCACCTGCATCCTGATTCCGGAACGGGCTTGCGCGTTCTCTATTAAATCCCAGGTTATTTTTCAGTCCACCTTCCTCCCACTGCGGTATCAGGAGCGCTATATTCAGTTCTCCACACGGAGCTCTTGATAGCCCTGTTCAAGGCTTTTAATCTACCCGGGAGGTCCTCGAGATATTACGCGGAAGTTTTCTTGAACACATTCCACCAAAGTCCTCCTCATCTACTTTCTTGTCAAAACTATAATTCAACTCCGATTTGCCATATTTCAGGTCAGACAACCCCTCATCAGCACATGATTGAGGATCGGATGACATCCTCTGGGCCCTGATTCCTTTTTGTGCAAGAGCCAACTGCACAGTTACAAAGACGTCGGCTAGAGCTTGCTCCTATCGTTTACTACATTTCACTTTACTTCGGTCTGGCTGTGCCAAACCTTACAATGGCGCCCACTCATCTTGATATTGACCTGGCCAAGACATACACACACGCAGATATGCTGCTTTCCGCAAGAAAATCACCTCGACTGAACTTGCGCCGGACAGCTTCCTCCAATAACAATATGGAAAAAGCCCCATTATCTTCAACCTCCTCCCGCTTCAACTTCAATCACCTCATCGCCTCTCCACCCCCATCACCAAGTCTTCCTGCGTTGGTGCCCCGCCATGGTAAACCTCTACCTGCCCGGACTCCACGAACGTATTTGAGGGCTGCTCTATGGCTGTCAGGAGTACTTGTGATCTTGTACTTTGCTAGTGGGGTAGTCCACAAAGATCGTCACTTGAAGGCGGTAGGATGGGCTGCCAACAGTGGGGAACAATATGAGATGGTTGAGGAGACAGAGTTGCCCGACTTCCCAACTCCTGTCGTGGTTACAGACAAACGTGGACGAGCAAAATGGACTGTTTCAATTCCTCCCGATAGCGAATTCCCATTGGAGCCCAGGGTGTACGCGGATATATGTATGCAGAACATGGAGGTTGCTACACATGTTGCGGACTTGCATAGTCATATATACAAGGAGCATGCCGCTCATTATGGGTACTACCATGTTGACCCGAATTTTATGGATGTGGCCGAGGCGGAAGAACATGGACTGTTACCTGGACTGAAAGCAAAAACGAACATGAATGATGCACCTCTGGTGGGGGAAAATAACCATGATGGACTCATCGAATCTGATGTATGCAAAAAGACCTTGACATTCGTCCTAGAGACACGAGACGCTGGATTGGGCAACACACTACTCATGTTGTGGACTGCATATGGCTTGGCGAAAAAGGAAGGAAGAGAATTTTTTGTCGATGACTCTAGATGGTAAGTTTGCAATTCGTTTTCATGTTGCTTTACTGAAGATTATCAGGGCATACGGCAAGTATACCAAATTCTTCATGCAACCCCCAATTCCACAATGCAGGCCACCTCCACGTCATGAGATGCTCCCATGTCCCCGCCACGCTCGACATCTTCTCGTGTCTGGAGCTACAGCCTCTTACGTCTTTGGTGGCGCTTTCAATGATCAGTTTGAGGATGCAAAGAAGATGGAAGTAAATCGATTGCAACCAATTTTTCAGCTCGCTCGGCAAGGTTACGAGTCACTTTTCCACCTTGGAAATGAAGACGAGCCATACCTCATGAACCGCGTTGCTGACATTCGGGCAAAGACAGTTGTTGGAACTGGTGAGAATCTCAATGGTATTGTAATCGGCGTGCATGTCCGTCATGGAGATCGTAGACCTTTCGAATTTCAATATAAAGATAGCTACGTCCCATTAGACCGCTACAGCGACAGGGCCCACGACTTGATCCACGCCACTTTCAATAATTCTGATTACGACGTGGCTCAAAATACAGATGCTGAAGCTCAAAGTTTGATACTCGTGGCATCCGACGACCCAGATGTCTATACCTCCGAAGAATTTTCTTCCGCCATGCCAGCGCAGGAAGTGATCCGACTTGCGGCCAAGGAACACATCAAGACTGGCGACCAACCCGCTGGCAAAACAGGAATGAGGAACTTCATCGACTCTCCTGTCGGCTGGGAGGGCGGCTTCTTCGCTCCTATGTTCTGGAGTCTGGGAAAGCCAAACAGTGTCCCGGCCACCGCCGCCGAGACGCCGGACATCAAGCTTCCCCCAACATCTGAAGCTCTCAGGTTAAGAGAGTTGGTGGGAAGAGCTTACCTACTGGATCTTGCAGTTTTGGGACAATCGACCGATGCAATTGTATGTACGGTCAGCTCGATGGGATGTCGGCTGCTAGCGGTCATGATGGGCTGGGAGAAGTCTATTGAGAGGAAGGGCTTCGTGAACATCGATGGAGACTTCCAATGGAGAGGGATTCCCTGGTAGAGCATGACTGGATTTTGGTACAGAGTGCCAATTCATTCTCTACGCATTTTCAGAGGGGTCAGACGAGATTCTTTGCACATAGTTTTTTCCCTTTATTGTTGGTCATCACATTCATTTATTTATACACACTTTTGCGAGAGCCGGATCCATTTTCTTTGCGAGTTTTGTCAAATCTTGTTGGGCGCTTTACATGCATCATATGCGCGGATATACTTACTTCATGGGATGGTGTTTTGGGTTGGGAGCATATTTAGCGTCCGTGTTTTCTCTGTCGAGCTCCTGGGAAAGATTAGGAAATTGAAATTGGTTTGAGACCAGAGAAGAAGAAAAGGCGATCACTGGTGGGCGATGCTTGTATATATAGATGAGGTGGGATTGGTGTCAGAGACTGAGAAAATTGAGGCAGTGAAGATACTTCGATAAGCTCAAATCTGTAGCTTTTGGAAGGATCAATATTAAAACATGTTCGGAAATCGAGTGTACGTGTTCTAGTATTTGAGTGATGGCTCTGAGAAAAGGACGAGGTTTCCAAATTGTGATCAGCACGGTCTAGTGGTGGAGTGGACTAGTAGTTGGATGGATACCAGTACCCACGAGTACCACCTACCTACGCGAGATCTCTTCTCTCGTCCCATATTTTGGCAACAAGGATTTCTTGGAAAGCAGAGAGTCTAGCGAGTCTAGGTAGGTAGGCATAGGTAAGGTGTTTCATTTCACATTCCACCCCGATGAACACCTGACTAAATATTCACAGGACCGATCATTGTGATCAAAAATAACTTTGAAGCCTTCCATTGGAATCGACTTTACCTTCTCTGCGCATACCTACCTACCTATACCTACCTAGCTATGAAGCCTCGAACTTGGTGTTTGCTGAGATACAGATGAATTCCAACTCCAATTCATATACCTAGGTAGGTAGGTACCTGTAGGTACGGTCGACTCACGCCCAGCGCGAGCGACAAGTCGCTCTTTCTCTCTTAGCACTCTCGTCGCATCCCTGGTGGAATTGGAAGTCGTCTGGATTTGGATCGGACTCGGAATTCAGGCCATGGTGCCTGCAGTGCCCACCTGCAAGTGGTTTGGATTGTGTCGACCGGGGGTCGAGCTCGCTCCTTCCTGAGTCCTTGACTGCAGGTGAGGTTGGCTTCCAGGTTGGCCTCATCAGTAAACTCGACCACTGCCCAGGTGGGCACCTGCACTGCTTAAGTTGTCGATCTCCCTCACGTTCCTGGTTGCTTGCACTCATCTGGATTCTGGCGAGACCTAAATTCCGCTTAGGAAGGGAAGGCGCGACTTCTTCTGCCCTCTGAGTAGGTATAACCCCCCCCCCCCGCCT